TTCTGATTCTGAACTGCAAGAAAATACATTGTGATTCTTGCACTTCTGACAAGAATCATGGCTGATTCCATGATAATTCAAGCTCTGTACATTTTCAAGGGAGGCTAAATAAAATAGACTTTTTACGAGTTTAAATGCTCAGGTTTCAGCTGCATGCAGTCTGTGATGTATTTTAGCATTATGACTTACACTTTGACAACTTTCATTAAAATTTAAGTCTCATTTTGTACAGCTTTCATTACATTTCTTCTTTCCATTTCTGAAAGTGCAGCAGTGATCAAATGTAAACAGTGTGGGAGAAAAATATGGTGCAAAAAAACGCATTGTAATGTATTATAAACTGCAGTGAAGGGGCTGACTATAGATTCAAACATGTGTAATTTACCCAGACAGTTTAAAAGATTTCAAACAAGTTACACAAGGAACATCACAGCACTATACTTTTAACAAGCAACTGAAACAGAGCCTCAGATTAACTGTGGTGTCATCCATCCTGCATTATTAATGAGAGCAGACCTCATTGAACACCCTGCATGTTATTTATGCATGCATCAAACTGTGAGTGGATTAGGTTTGTGCAAATAGCGCATCACAAAGGGGCCATTCATTAGGTGTGCACAGCATGACCGATTTGGCAGCACATCTGTAAACACAGGACTCCGGTGTGAACAAACAAAACACTAACAATCCGAGGGAACATATATCTCAGCTCGCATCACGTCAAAAAAGGGGGATAAATTAAGTTTAAGCTCGAGCGCTCACTTACTACAATGGAGTGATTGTTGATCTTGCAGGAAAGAAAACATGAGTTAAATGGACAGAAAGCTAATCGTTTAAGATTGGTGTGTATCTGATCGACTTATGTTGGAGCTAATAAGTATTGCATTAGCAAACTGAGTCATATCGATATGCAAAACTTTATTGCAAAGACTCTAAAGCCAAGCTTTTTTTTACACTCTAAAGTTGTGTTAAATATTTTAGCATTGTGACTTTCTGGAGATGCACAACAGTAAAGTTAATCTGAGTGTTTTTATCCTCCATTCGCCATGAAAACATGATTTGAAAGAAAAGCATAGAAGCGCTTCTTACAGCTTGATACAAGCTCTCTTTAATAAATATAATAATAAATAGAAAAATAACTGAACTTTATTGATTTCACATTGGAGAAATGCATCTCTGCATTTAACCCATCTCCTTGGGGAGCAGTGGGCTGCCATTATGTGATGCCTGGGGAGCAATAGGGAGTTAAAGGTTTTGCTCAGGGACCCAGAGGGGAGACTGTGGGGATCGAACCGGATACTTGCAACCTTCTGGCACAAGCGCACTGATCTAACCCACTAGGCCAGCAATTCCCCCATTTTATGGTGCAGAGAAATCCAAAAGATCAAATTTGTGTTTTTCAACTTCTCATCTAGACCTTCTTTTATGTTTGTTGGCCGCAGTTAGATCTAAATCCATCGGAGAACCTGGTTCTCAGATCCTCCTCATGCTTTCTGACTCGTTTGAGGGGTTTTGTAAGAACTTTGCAGGAAATGTCAGTCTCAATACGCAACATCGGTAAAGATACTGCACAGAACCTTAAAGGATTTGCAGCTGTAATTGTGAAAAATTCTGTAGCTTAAATTTGAAATTCAATTTAGTCAATATATATAGTGCTATTTCACAAAATTTCATATAAAGGCACCCTTCAGATTTAACTGCATCAAATCATACAGATTAATTGTTAAAGAGGTTAAATATGTTTCTGCCTAGAACAAAACACAACAGGTTGCACTGATTCAATGACTTCACTGAATTAATTCTCCTGCATGAAAGTGTATCTTTAGTGGGAAGTTGGTCATTGTGTGTCGTTGACTTTGCAGCAATTTCACATTACAAATATGCACATAGCAACAGTGGGAAGGAACCTCCAGAAGAACATGGCTAAATCAAAACAAAAGTTTGGCAAAGCATTATGCATTCAATATGAGTGCCCAAAGAGTTTAAACTGAGCAGTACTCAGCTTTAGTCATCATCATCATCATCATTATCACATTCAAAAAATATTCCACAAATCCTTTAATTATCATTAATTTATTTGTATGGGGAAAATAGAAATAATTCAGATTACAGTAAGATAATGATAGTAATTATACGTCTGTCTTTCTCTGTGCTTACAGAAAAACCAAGATATGCAGAAAGTTGGGACTTTGAAGTGACCGGCTCCTCCTTCCTCCAGTTTGAGCTGAGTATGGGCTGCAGTAAGTCCACGTCCTTCTCCCACGGGGTCCGATTGGAGTTTTCAACAGACTGCGGTCGCCACTGGACTCTTATTACCCCTGAGTGCGTGCCTCCAGCCATCGGCTGCGCTGGTTACACTCAGAGCTCTGTCTACACGTCAACCCAACACAAACACTGGAGGAGAATCACCGTCTACCTGCCCAGTGCTGCTAAGTATGTCTTTTCGGAGCCCCACAAGCAAATAAAACCTTTATTAATGATTAAATGTAATAATAGTCTTTAATAAGAGTGGGTACACCTTCAATAAATGATCAAACTTTATTACATAGATGTGAATTTCTCTTTACCAGGTCATAAGATTATTTCAAATAGTAATAATTGTAGATTCCCATGTTTTAAGGTATGTCACTATTAATAAAAGATGAAATACAGATATAACCAATAGGTTTTGTTTTACTTTTTTTTGTACAAAAGTTCCCCCAGAACTCGGTTCCGTTGGATCCAGACCCACTTCACCCCAGGAGCAGAGGGATGGGCGCTAGATAATGTGTTACTTGCCCCCGGTTGCCCATGGATGTGCTCTGGACATGGGCTGTGTGACAATGGACGCTGTGTGTATGTAAAACCGACCTCTTTCTGCATTACTAATTGGTTTTTCTTTTTATTTTGCCTCATTTCTAAATGTCCTACCTGGTTTAAATGGTTTCTACTTCGGTTTTTTTATTCGTTCTCCTGCAGATGTGATAAAGGGTACGGAGGAGCGCACTGTGTACCTTTGGCCCCGCTGCCGTCGGTGCTAAGGGAAGACTTTAATGAGAATCTGCAACAGGAGACCTGGCCTGAAGTTTATGGAGCAGAGAGAGGGACCCTCAGTGGGGAGCCACTTAAATCTGGCACTGCTCTTATTTTCAAAGGAGTAAGTTCAATGGACACGTGCAGAAAGCAATCGAAACATGTCTTCAAAATTTAAATAACAATTACACTTTTTTTCCTGGTTTTTCACAGGATGGACTTCGTATGATTGTTTCAAGGGACCTAGACTGCTCTAACACTCTCTACATCCAGTTCTCTTTCAAGTTTATAACCAAAGGTGCTCGCTTACTTGCTGTTGCTACGGTTACGCAACATCTGTCTTTTAACTTTTAACGGGTTTTGCTGTAACTGTTCTCCCTTTGGGCCTCTGCAGGAGTCCCGGAGCGCTCCCACTCGGTGCTGTTGCAGTACTCTGTAAATGGAGGAATCAGCTGGCTCCTGCTGGATGAGTTTTACTTCCCAGCTTCCACAGACACTCTGTTCCTCCACTTGCCTCTGCCACCCAGTGCTCAGACCAATGCCACCCGTTTCAGACTGTGGCAGCCTTACAACAGCGGTAAGCAGACAGCACAGCTCTACTTTTAATTTAGTAGTACCAAAATGAATACTAGTTCAAGGCAGTTCAGAAAAAAGGATCCAATTCATTTAGAAAGCTAAAGGCAGTTTAGCTCATTCCAAACACACATTTAGTTACTTAAATACTTTCCAATTTTATTTTAGTTATTAAATAACGCAGCCAAGTTGGATGTATTATTCAGTTCTGGTTTTATATTAAAGGAATATTTTAGATTTTTAAGGAATTCAAATAAATTCAGTTTATTTCTAAAGTGCCAATTCACTAATCTGACTCCGTCAGATGGATTTGGTCTCCATATCCATCTGGAAACCTTCCGTCGAAGTAATTTTGGGAAGGGGCGAAAATACTGGTTAGCTGATTGGCCTATGTTGGTGATAGACGG